TTGGCTTTGGTGGGAGTCTAGTTAGAAAGACTCAGGTTGAACAATACTCTGTTTATCCTTTATTGTTCTCCCATGTCTTCATCATTTTTTAGTTATCTATTATTTTACTCAATGTGAATTTGCTGTTTTCCTGCTATTTGTGACTTTGTGTATTGATTATTTCATTTATTTGTATTATTATTTGTATTTGTATTTTTTAATTCTTTCCTATTTACTGTGACCATGACCTAACGGGGTGGGGGTAAGGGATAGGGGATGGGTATTTGTCTTTCCTTTAACAAACAAATTGTTCTGTACTTTGTTTAATGTGCTGAAAGTGCAATAATAAATACAAATATTTTGAAAAAAAAAGAAAGAAAGACTCACGTTTCTCCTGGACGTACAGGAAGCCTTCCATCGTCCACTGGCCGGGGGGTTTATAGTCCTGATCTGCAGACCTTATCCTCTTCATCAGCTTCTCCACTTCCTGCTTAGTGCTCAGAAAGTTGTTTCTTGTCTGCACAGAAAACAGAGGATTGGATTATAATTGCATTAACAGAGGAAGTCTTGTGTAACGTTTTTTTCCCCCTGCTATTTCTCATCTCACACTGTATAGCTTCATTTTGTCTACGTCAGGCTGAAACAAATAGAGGAAAAACGTCAAACATCTGACAAATGCTTTACATTTGTGCAATGACGCGAGAACACCTGTGGAAAAGAACACATTGGCCAACGTTATGGAAATACAGATAGCATCTAATTCAAAAACACTACATTTGTATTGCAGGGATACACTTGAGGTGATGCAAATTAGGACAGAGAGCCAGTTCTTAATGCTTCCAGGAATTCTCTTTTTGGATTTTAAAAAGGTCAGGATGAGGCTGTTTCTTAGATACTACAAGAGCGGTGCTGAGACAGCTTCACCTTCAGCAGCTCCTATTAGAGCCCTCTGCATCTGAGGACATGGAGAGAGGGTTACCGAGTGGAAATTGTCAGGGCAATGGCGCTGACATTTCGGGTCAGAGAGAAATTTGAGCCCTGAGGCTGCAAGTGGTGAGGTCATGGTGATGGAAGGAGAGGGCATGGCGGCAGCTGGAGTATTACTCCCAATTCTTGACACACTAGCATTAAATGGCCAGCAGTAACCGCCCGCTGTACAACACTCGAAAAATATTGATCCTCCCTGCAGCAAAGAATCTCATTTAATCACACAGCTATCCATTAGTAAAAACTCTGCTTGTTATATGGGGGTATGATAAGCTGCAGAATCTGATCACGTGGCTGGTTGCCTTTGTGTACCACCCTGGAGCAGCTGGGACTTACATTCTGTAGGTTGAACTGGAGCTGTTGTTTGTACGGCTCAAACTCGTGAGCCAGCTCGTATCCTTCATGGTAGAACGTAAACAGACCCTGAAGGAAGGCCAGGAGCTGGAAAGGGAACAATAATAGGGGGTGATTTACTGAGTTAATGTAGAGCTTCAGTGCTAATTCAAGTGAGAAATGCCATTTTAAAAAGCAACATTGCGACATCAAATGTTCCATTTTGAACACTAAAAACGCTGATAATCACTATTATCGCACATTCAGAATCTCTTTAACATCAGGAATCCAGTCCATTCTATTTTTCCAACATGGTTTGAATTATGATACTGTAAAAACGACATAATTTGCTTTAATTCTGTGCTTTCAATCACATTTTCAAATAAATGTTACATTGATTTCTACTTTTCTTTTAAAATACTAATAGTGATGTTCATACTGCCAGTCAAAAATGAATTAACTTATTTTTAAACATCTATAAATCCAACCAATATAATTGTTTCTCGTTGTACTGAATATTGCCCCAAAAAATTACTTTTTTTGAAGGTTCTTACTCTTTACGCCCCAACTACCTGGGGCCGGCAGATTTACATTTCTGGCTGCAGCTCTGGGTGAGCTGCCAGCGGGTGTAAACAAAATAACATTCACTTTGCTCCCATCTCACATTTCCAGACATTTAACACCTTACAGGACTTAATGCTTCCTGGTAACTTTTGCGCTAAAGATGTTAGAATTGACTCCATAAATCTGTTAGGTGGGGGTTTTTTATACAGGCTTTTCACAACAATCACTTCACTTCATCTCATTTAACGCACCACCTTCCACAAATGGATTGATTTATATCACATAGAATTTCCCATAAAGACGACAAATGAGTTGTATACACAAGCATATAATTATACCTGTGAGAGATGTATCATTGTGCGTGTCTTTAAGAGACGACAGACTTTTAAAAAGCTACTTCTATTAGCACTAAATACAGTCTGTGCTTTTTTTAATTAGATGCCACTTAAACTAAGCTTTTAACAACATATTAAGTAAAGCAAAGCAATTACAGCATCTTAAATGTGCATTAACTGAGCACAGAAATATGCAAAACTGATTCTTACCGGCTCGACAAACTCAAATTTCTTCTTCTCTTGGACTTCTTGGATTTTGAAAACATACTCAAGGGACGCATCGTAGAAGAGTTGTCTTTCCTTATCAATCTGCGTGTCAGCCTGAGAAATAGCAAACAAACCAGGGTCAGTGGCGTCACAAAGGCGGGGGTCACTGTGTGGACAGAGAGTTAATGCCTGCATGCACACCTAGGAGAAGGGTGTGCAAGAGTGGTGCACAAACAACAGCTTTATTTTTAGGAGACATTGAGCCATAAAACCGCATTATTCAAAGACATGTTGAGAGGATCAGAACATTTGCTTTGGTTTTACCTCCTGCAGATATGTTTCCTTCTTCTTGGATGATAAGTTGAGGTGTCTCTCAAGCGTGGAGTAGTATTTCTCTGTTTCCTTATCGAATTTCTTTTTCCCCTCCTGAAAGGATCCACAAAACACATAAAAGGCATAAACATTACCACAAATGTCTCATGTATTCCTGATGTGGCTGTGTGTGTGTGTGTGTGTGTGTGTGTGTGTGTGTGTGTTGGAACTGCCACTAGGGGGAGGTCTGACTACGTTTTCACATGCCGCTTGGTCCATGTCATTCAAGATTCTTGTCAATAGATTATTGCAGTTCATATAAGGGGCATATGACTGTTAAATGACGAGTAGACTATGTCGGCTTGGTCAATAAGAACCATTTATTATCAAGAGAGCCATACACGCTATAATTCTAACAGCGTCCCAGCCAGGGACACAAGTTCACTGGAAAATAAACAGTGCTCATCATCAGTAGGATAATGCATTTGGCAGTGTCACACGCAGGACTGGCTGGATGCCGTTAGCATTTTCCTTCCTTGTTATGCTCCACCTACGAAGACAAGGCAAGCTATGTAGTCACGAGTCCCAGGATTCAGACAGGGTGTCCCAGAAGGCTGCGATGAAGGAACAGGAAATGGGCTTTTCATGCCAGATGCCCATCTATAAAAGCATATGGACTAAGAGATTGAACATTCTTTCCCCCTGACCGAAAAAAAAGATCCACTTTGCAGGCTTTAATCAAACTCTGCCCATGCAAACAGAACCTGACTGTGCGAGGGCATTCGAGTGTCTCATCTGCAAGTCTGACCTCTAAACCAAGCTTTGCCCATTTAATGCCCGTCCCGCTATGCAAACACTCATGCAGGGGCGAGTGGAGAGACATAATACAAGAGGGGGTGGGGGAAAGTCTGAGGAAACGGCCAATGTAACCAGATCCTCCTTGTTTGTTTTCATTCCCATGGCCCTGAAATTTAGCAAGTCTAATCTAGCTACTGATATGACCTAGAACAGTGTTCTGCCTCAGCACCCCCCTCCCCCCCAGCAGTTAAACACACAGCGGAGGAATTCACCAGGAGAAGCTGTAACCCTCCTACATAACTTTTACAGATACAGCAGAAAAATCAATAGATAATTTCATGTAGTAGCATCTGATTTCCATTTCTCTGGTCATGTCTGCCCCATGGTTGATCTTGTCAGTAGTGCGGAGAACATAAAAAATCAATTCTGTGCATCGTGTGCCCACTATTCAGAAACGAAAAAAGGTAAAGTAAAAAAGATTTGTGATTAAATATGATATCATGTTGACAGGAATTACATTTCACTGCGGGGTCGGGTGTTTTTGTTTTTCAGATAACAAAAAGGGGGCTGACTGTCTGCCATTGTGACTACTGTTGACATTATTTTGTGCGCACGCATGCATATAAAGACCAGGGCAAAATACCACTGTGCACGCGCACGCACACACACACACACACACACACACACACACACACACACACACACACACACACACACACACACACACACACACACACACACACACACACACACACACACACACACACACACACACACACTGGGGATCACATTAAATTATGAGCTTCAGGTTTAGCTGAGCCCCGCAGTCACAGCAGGAATCTCCCTGCACGGCTGACCAGTGTGCCAAAAAACTCCTCGCAAAGAAAAACACCTCCACAGTTTGTCTGGACTAACTCTTTCACACGTCCAAAGCAAAGAGCTGGGGAGTGACTCAGAGCTGCAGAGAATCTGTGAGGCAGAGCCAGCCTGATTAAGTCACCCAAAGTGTCCTGCTTTGTTTTGATCCAGGCATAACGTGTACAAACTGGCACTACCGTAATGATAGCCCAGCAGAACACCAGGTGTTTGTTGGTTTGTGCATGTGGTGAAAGCATCTCCCCCCCTCTGCCCCCCAGATCTGTTTGTGTAATCAGGGTGAAATACAAACAGTTGAAAAAGCAAAGACTCTCCGAGAGAAGGAGGGAGCATTGCAGGCGAAGGCTTTGAAGTCCTACACGGGTAGCAGAGGACATAGATGCGGAGAGATATAAACACTGAAGAACACATGACAGGGGCGTTTCTGACAAACTAATGCCAGCGCCCCCCCCCCCGGTGTAATCAGCTGGCTGGCAATGGATGAAGCCCAAGTACTTCCCAACACTCTGCAGTGCACAAAACACACATGGACCTACCACTTGGGAGATTTCCTCATCTGATTGCTTTGTTCGCACTCATGAATAAATCAGATGCAGGATGAGAAATTCTGATGCGGCTTTCCTCTGTAGTCTTTCACGGGCGAATCTCATGTTGACGTTAAGAGCACTTTGATGCCAGCTGTAGTATGTGTGCGTTTGCTAATTGCTAATGGAGCGTTGCAGGGAGGAAAATGATGGGAAAAGCGGCAGGCAGTCTTTCAACTGGTCAACAGGTGTTCTCAGCGTGCTAAAGAAGAACGGGTGCTGGGAGCAGACGGGGGCCATATTTGGAGGTTGGCCGTACATCCGCAGTTTCGACACTGGTCCTAACGAGCCTCGGGCCATTATTTCTCAGCCTCTCATTGCAATGGTAACAGATGTAAGCAGTGAGGTAGGTTGAATGTGTGAGGAAGGAACCCTGGTTATCACACACTACACTTCCTCATTTCCTTCCAACACGATGGCATAAAATAAACATCAATGGCTAGAGAGGTGTCACGTGCAGCACCAGAAGTTCATTTAAAATGAATTCTCTGGGCAGGGACATAACAGGGAGAGCTCCACAACCTATCTCTATAAGCTCATTAGAGAAAACTAATTGGAGCAGGGGCCCAGAATGGCGATTAAATAGCAATAGCTGCTTTTTTTTTTTTTAATGCTCCACCACACATGAGACGGTCTCGCTTCCACGGGGGCGGCTGAGCGAACGCAAGGATTTCAGCTGGAGTTTCTTTGCTGCAAAGCCAGAAAATGTCTCCCTGCTAACCTGAAATCCCACTTCCTGAGGAGACATCACAGGCAGCAAGAAGTTGGCCAATTAACACGAAATAATTACAAACAGATGCTTCTAAAGAGTTGAAAACAAATACCCAGAAAAATATTGTGTATGTGGCAAATTGCAAAGCTTTCATCTAAAACACATTTATACCATTTAGTGCCCATTCTCTCGCTGAAACATGCTGACATTATTCTAAATTAATACAAATATAAGTAAAAAAAGCTCCATATAGCCTAGTATGTGAAGAGTGAACAAAGACATTGCCTTTGAATCTGATAGGGACAAGAAGCTGGTATCTACATTCTCACAAACCTTCAAAAGCGTTTTTATTGTAATGGTTTCAAACAGTCCTCTGGCAGGCTTTAGGAATATAGCTCCGTTCAATCCTATAGGGATCCCTTAGGCTTCTCCATCTTAAAGGGAAACTATGCACATTATCAGATTTTGTACATGTCACTCCTATGGTAAAAGGCAGTCAATAATATTAGTGAACATGAACAACACTAGAGCGATCACATTTGAGATGTTATTAAGTTATATCTGGAGCTGATCCATAGACCATGAACAGGGAAATATGCTGAAGAGGACACACATCAGCCAGGGGAGTGCTCCAAGTATATAGCAATAGTTTGTGAAAACACAACAACAGAAGATAATCTGGGTATAAAAAAGAAAAGGAAAGTCGTGTGGGTCCACAACATTATTCATCGTCTATGGAGGAGAATGTACACATCCCAAGACTTACTTGTCTGGCTTTGAGAAAGAGTAGCTCATGTTCACAAATACCGATTGAACATGCCTATAGGCCTTGGAAACTTACAGAGGATCTATTATGCTTTTGGGGTTTTATCTTTCCTGTAGTGCTGTATACAGGTTTTTGCATGTAAATAATCTGCAAAGACTCAAATCCCAAAGTTCCCTCCAGAGGGAGTTTACAGTATCTCCCTAGAATCCCCCCCTGCCTGAAACGCCTCCATTGGACTCCATTGAACTCCATTGGATCACAATAGAGCCGGCCAGCTAACCAATCAGAGCAGACTGGGCTCTGGTTTCAGACAGTATGAGAAAAATAAAGCACTTTTTGAACATTAAAGCATGTCACAGTAGAGGTACAAAATACAATTATGAAACGTGAACATTTGCATAATAGTGCCCCTTTAATATAGGTGGTGCTCCCCTTTAAGATCTACTTGTTCTTTCTACCGCACGGGCTACATCATGTGTGGGAAAATAGCTTTTGAATCATCAGGAAGTTTGGAACTCCTTGTTAAGATGATACACAAATGGTTATTTGTTTTGGACACTGGTCGGGGATGACTAAGGAGCTCTCTCACACTTCCCTCATTATGTGCGAGGCAACAGGAAGTTTAATAACAACATTGAGGCCATCTTCAAATAACTCTATGTTTATAACAAGGTTATTGAAGAGTTTGTTTTATTTTATTATGCATTTAATATCAATGTCCATTCTAATAGTTGCTGTGTCTTTGTGAACCTCTCATCTTTATCAATAACGTTACTCTTTTCTCAACAATTCAGCTTTCTCTAACCCAAAGCCAGAGAAGATTGTCTGGAAATGTTCACCATAAAAAGGGAATGATGTGAAACAGTCCTGTGTTCAGTGTCACTTTTGGCGCCAGAAAACAGTGAATACACTGCAAGGAAATACAATAAGACTACAAACCATTATGTCAGCTCATCCATCAAAATGAAGTCATTGTTAAATTGCAGTGTATATCGGATACTGTGCTTTAGATAAAAGGGAATTGTATTAAAACTTTCCGCGAAATCCATGAATACCCTTTTAAAACTGCCAACATATACTCCTGACTTATACTTGTAGGGCCTTTAGTTAATTCTGTATGTTGTCGCTGTTTGAATATAAGCCAATTTAATGCTTATTGCTTTTGCAAGAATCGGAAATATTTACAGTGGATGGCTGCCACCTTCAAACAGGTAAGAGACTGACCTCTCGAGGTCTACTTTTGACTGGCTCGTGAAATGCTAGTGATCAGGAGAAAAAAATCATTACTTTCTGAAAGATTGTTTTTAATGGTGTTTCTGCTTTATTGGGTAGGGCACAGTGGAATATGATGGGACAGACAAGATAATATCCATCATCCTATTCATGCATTTTGTTGTTTTGCAGCATAAAGTAAGAGTCATCCCCACGGCTGTCACCTTAACTTCCTCTTCTCTCACTGTTATTGGGCGAAGTGTTTTTGAAGCCTATTGTTTTTCTTGTCTTATTAAAGTGTGTATTTCTTTGCTACATCAACCATTTTCTCCCAATCTGACAAAGTTTATTATGCTAAATGTTCTGCAAATCAACAGGACATCAATTACATATTCAATCATCAGGTGTTTAAAGTACTGCTGGGATAACTGTGCAGAACTGTGGTCACATCTTACTATACATAAACCGTGTCAATTAAAGTCACTATGTGTAAGTTTCTCTTTTTGGCACCATCTGTTGGTACCGTTGGCAATTAACTTCCCGAAGGATGTTGTAAAGGGATAACACTTTTCCATCAGCACTGTACACTTCCACGGGAAATGAAGCCTTTGCTCAGTCCTAATTTCCAATGATTTCTTTAACACAACATCCCCAGGTAAGCAAACTAAAACAATGTATACTGTATACGGTTTATTTCTATGATTGAAGTTTTAGTGCAGCCCACAGCTGGCGAGCATATTTCCCAAGCACTTAAATTGATCCCTATTCTCAGCAGCGTCTTGGTTAGCATCTGGGATTTCATAGCATGAATGCAAATGTCATTTCTGCCTCTGGAGACTCAAACTAGTAGAGAATCATCTGACGTCCGTGCACCCCTTGTAGGATGAGGACAGCTCAAATTATCTTGACTCTCATCTGGGTCTGTTTGCACTAGTTCCTCACACTCAGAAAGTGAAGGACCCCTAGGGTGCTCCCAACATTAAGGACCCTTGAATGGAATAATATTTTGTCAGGAATGCCAAAAGTTAGACCCCCCTGGTAATTCCTTGTCCCTAAGGACTTTTTAAATTGTCAGGCCTTCAGGAACCTGACAACCACTAAACAAACACATATAATGGGGACCAAGCTTTAGGCAGTTTTACTCCAAAAGTTTACGTGAAAAATATACAAGCATAGCAATCAGAGGAGCAGGAATATGTGACAGTTCAGCCACAAGGATGAGATCCAAGATACGGGAAATTCATTCAGAGCTGACTGTGTTGATGCAGTGACAGCAAAGAGTAAAGTACAATGAAACCAACACAGATTTCAGTCCTTATTTCACTTCAGTTCTTGGCCTGTGAAGTAAACTTTCAGATCACAAAAATGTATCTGGAACTGAGAAAAAGGGTCTTAGAAAAATGTCAGTTCTACATCCCGGTTTTACAGCAAGCGCACAAGGTGCAGTGAAAATGCATGATTGTTTGAATTCTTGTGGCTTTCTTGATGTGTATTTGTTTATGCTGTGCAAAGTTGTAGGGTTTTATTCCTAAACATTTGTTCCAGCATTTGTGTGAAGCAGACTGTGCCAAATACGTCCCGTAGTGCTGCATTCAATCTGCTGGTGTGTTATGGCCATGAAAGTGTTGCGCTTGTGCGTAAGGAGCTGATACACTGGTACGCAACCTCCATGGGATTACTCGCATTATTCCCAAATAAGGCAAGAGCTCCCAGTTTATCCATCTGACGTTCCGAAGCGCAGTAACTGGAAGGGTCAGACGGCCTGCAGATCTCTCCAGATTCTCGGAACAGTGGAAAGTTGGTCAGCCACTCGTGATGTCTGCCTTTTATCTCACTCTAGTTGGGCTAATGTTTAGCGGGGGATGGGCCGTAGGAGGAGAGAGCCATTAGGAGGAAGTGGTCGGAGGAAATAAGAGGTGGTGGGAGTGACGGGGGCTGTGGCTTTTAAGAAACCATTTTATAAACATAGAGAGTCTGTGCAATAACACTGAGAACTGTGATGGGCTGGAGTGAGAGAAAGAGATGGCAGCAATATGTGTTTTTTCATTACGGTAGGTACATGCGGTGGCTGAGACATGTAGCGACAATGGTTATTTAGTCTGGGCGGTAAAAAAGGAGAGTGATGGATGTTCACACCTCAGCACTGAGAAGAGAAATAGTTCCTTTGCATTGCGGCTTGCACTACTAGAAAGCAGTAAAATGGTTACTTTTGCAGACCAGTGACTGTCAACTCATGTCAAATAAATCAAGATGGGTGAGACTTTGAGTTAGGAATTCCCCTTATGAGGTTTAGGGCTGAAGATGTGCAAATGATTCACAGAGGCCAGTGCAGAGCTAGCAGTGGACTGAGGGACACAGCGGGGGCTCTCTGTAAGGGCCCGACTTCTACTGGAGTATCCATGTGTGATCTCATCAAGAGAGAGACCACAAACAAGTGGCTACACTTTCATTTTATGCCTTTGCGTTGGCCAGGAATGAAAGCATGGCTTGTGGCAACAAGCCCACACTGGTTTTTGCAGGCAACTTCATCAGCATATCCACAGTGGAACCAGGGTGCCTCCAGGCGACATCTGCAGAAGCCCAGTGTTATCAATCCTCTATGACCAATAGGATAGAAGGAATGCATTGCATGTAACAGGTCTACAGTAATAAGATTACAACAATGGTGAATGCCATATATTAGATACTGCAGGGTTACAGTAATCAGATTATAAATGCATTATAACATTTTGATAATACAGAAGTAGCTTTGAAGGGTGAACAGCACTCAGGCTGTGATACTGAAGTCTTAGCACTCGTTCATGTTGCGTACCACTATTTGTAAGTAAATAAGTACAATGATGTGTTAAATACAGTGGTTCAATTAATGTGGTTTCAAAATGTGATGTCTTCAATATTATTTTTAAATAACACCCACAGCACAGTTTGAGAATATCTGCCAGCAGATAATTGTTTAGTTAAAAGTGCCATCTTCAACTTAACATTAGACAAGAAAAAAAAAAGAAATAACTGAAGATCTTTTCACCTTCGTCCTAATATAATTGAATATCATATAGCCACCTGATGTCTTTGTTTAGACCCCCTATCAGTCTAATTAAGACACTTTTTCTAGGTGCCACGTCTTCCTTTTTAATTAATGATTTGCATACTGTAGGGGAGATGAAGGGGGTGAAGACGAGAGGCAAGTGTGTTACAACATCTTCCTCTGTTCAGTTGCTAATTGCGCGTGTAGGTGGGCTCTTACCTTCGCAGCACCGATTTGCTCCTTCCGGAATTTTTCCAAGGGTGTAATCAACACATCATCTGCATTCTGAATCTGAGATGAAAAACATAGAAAAACAGAGAGACAGACAGACGTCAGTCAGACAAAACGATGTGATCTGACTTTATGTAACCTTCTGAATAATTCAAAACACTATTAGACGGGAAGAATATCACAAAACGATTTTAATGTAGCAGTCATTCAGTTTTATTATAATGTTCTTTATAAATGTGCCGGAAAGCGGAAATTATCGCACAGAGAATGATCAAGTCAAATGCAGTTGCATGGAGTCCAAACACAAGTGGAGGATGGAGCAATCACATTCATTAATATCTCTTAAGCCTGTGACAATGAACAATGTGTTACTGTGAGGTACCCAAAATTAGCACAGCAGAGATAAGAGATAGAGCACTCAACAATGGTTCACTAGGTAGAAGAAAATTGAGCCTTTTTATGAGAGCTGTGAAGCACCAGCATTGTCAAACCTCGCTGAAATATGACACCGCACGGCAGAGGAGGGAGCTTTACAACTTCAGCCTGCAATGAATGTAAATGTTTGAGGTGTGTCTCTGTATATTGGTGACCTCTCCTGCGCCATGACTGGAGTAAAAAGGTCTCTCGCGGAGCCTCTCCCTTCTCATTCGAGACAGGAAGAGATTAGGTGAGATATATTGCACCAATTACAGTCTACGGACGACCCTTGCGAGCGAGCGTTTCGGAAAGGTGCCATTAAGGTGCTGCTGAATTTCCCCAAGATGGGCTTTCATCTACCGAGATCAGATGACATCAGAATGGTGGGGCTGCTCTACAGGAGGCACCGTCACAAATGACATGGCTATAAGGTTGATTTAAGGTGTTATTCTGTGCGGTGAGTGTGTTCGATAAACTAAGGGCTGGGGTCTATAATGCATCTATGATACCAGCTCTAATTTAGAGGTGTCATCGGCCCAGATGGTCTATCAGCTTCCGAATAGTGCACTGAACACGTACAGTTTCAGGATGGAGTTTTTGTTTTGAGCCATTAATCACGGTGCATTCTCATTGGCCCAAAATAACCCTGTCAGCTCGAGCACCCAACCGGAACGAGTGACTTGAAAAAGGAGGCTTCAATCTCTCTGAGCCTGAATTGTTTTCATTTATATGTTGTGTTGTGAGTGTGTACATCTGTAGCTTTGTTGTAATATTGCACTGTAATTACACAGTGTTATTTGTGAACCGTCAACTATACACGCCTCAAACTCATATCCATGTTAATTATAATAATAATACATTTTATTTACCCTTGCGAGCATAGATATAGGTACTTGAAATGAGGTACTCAAAGACACTTTACATGTACAGGTAACATACATGACAAATCATTAAAAAAACACTTTAAACATAAACAAAATAAATCATATAATATGTTCACATCCAGTGTTAGGGGTAACTGTAATTACATTACTTAGAAAGAATGTTGTGCTTAGTAACTGTAATAACTTATCACTAAATTATCTTGTTACTTGCAATACTTAAAGGTTTTCAACTATCTGCGTATTGGGAGGACAGAAAAACTAATCAAACGTCCTTTTTCACTCGCGCTACACTTGAGTTCATGAATAAGGAGACGGAGCAAAAATGTCAGAGTCGAGATAAACAGGTTTGTCACAGCGTACATTGTGGAGGTAATGTTGCCCAATTCGATGGTGGAATCTCCATCATTCTGAAACATATCGAGCAAGATACAGGTAACGAGCGGCCTGCCGCCATCAGATAGCACCACGCGATGGAAACTGAGGTAAAGAAAACATGGCTGATGTTCAAATAAAGAGCAGGAAACACAGGTCTGTTTATAGTGTTGCCCTTATTAGATTAAGAATTTAGTCAGAGTAGTCCAAAAGTAATGTAACTAGTGTAACTAATTACTTTCAGCAGTGGGTAATTTAGTCAAGTAAGGCATTACTTTTTTTGAGTAACGACCCCAACATTGTTCACGTCGTTGTTACACCACAGTATATTATGGTTATTTGTGCTCTAATGCTGTTGCTTATACTTAATCTATACTACAGTGAGCTCTTAACTGACATTTTTAGTGTAAAGAAAAGTATGGCATTCATTTAGCAAAAGGTAGGGTACATGCAAGGGATAATATTGTCTTTTATCGTAATGTTGATGTTACTTTAAAGTATAAATATGTTCAGTTATATGGGATTCGTTTTGTATCATAAAGATAAAGCAACACTTTCTCAGAATAAAGCAAAACTATGAGTTTAAAAGAAAAAAAACTGAGTCAAGCAAAATAAAATAAATTTCCAAAAATAAAACTATAAGTTGCAAACAAATCATTTGTGTAATCATGTAAACTATAAGTATTTTTTCTTTGTTTTAACATAGGTTTTTGTTTGCAGTTCTTGTTTCTTCTTTCTCAATGATCAGATTTTTGCTCTCGCTGCAGCTTTCTCGTTTGCGCTCCTTCACTTTTTGTTTGAGATTCTGACACAAACCTCCCAGGTGGGCGGGACTTTCAGGGGTGCGTCCCCATTGGCTACTCAGTTTTTGAGTGACAGCCCAGTCCTCCAGCGATTGTACAGTGCAGGCAGCTGCGGTGCGGTAGCTGATCGTGGATAGAACATAGAACACCTCCAGAAGAACCAGCATTTCAATTATTATAATACTACGAGTGAAAATATATGTAAGTATTGATCATTTGTCCTGTACTATACGGTCTGTTTCTTTATTGTGTTAAGTGAGAAGTAAAGCTGTGCTATGAAAGTTAGCTTTTGCTACCTTTAGATCCATAACAATGCAAGCTAGTAGCCTAACAGTTAGCTACATAGCTAGCAGTGACTGAGCGTTGAGACACCGGCGCACACACTCAAACGGACTCGTGTGCCTGACTCTACCAACAGGCTTTGATAGCTTATTTTATTAAAATGCTAATTTGATATGAAAAAAATGTGTGTCCAGAGTCTTATCCCGTTTTCTCACTTCCTCTGAGGGGACAGCACGGAGGGGGGGCACGAAGAGAGGCCTGCACCATCTTCATCCACGCTGGCGTTGCTGTTATCACTGCTCAGTGTCATTTCATTTGACCAAATGTCTTCACATATACATTTAATACATTTTATTATTATCCACCTTTTTGTTTTATGTCCTTTTATTTAGAACATTCTTTGAGACTTCATCTTCTGGTTCAAATTTCAATAAATGTAATTTGTATAATCACTCTTTTGTCTTTATTCTACGTGAAAATGTTAGAGATTCCATTCAAATCTGTTGATTATTCATATCTTCCTCAGGCTAGGAATTGTATGTTGAATTTGTAATGCTAAATGTATATCATTTTCTCACAGGATATAGAATGAGACAACAGTTTTTAACCATTGAGTATGAATGCTTGAGCTTTTCAGACCAACATAGTAAGATGTGAGCATGTTCCTAATTGTGTTGCTATGCAGCCTAGGTCTGCTCTGTTTAATAAAGCAAATCTGCCACTTTTATATTGTAGAATTTGTTAAATTAAAGCAGTCTTTAATTGTTTGTCCTAAACATAGCCCATATATGCTTTTGAAATTAGACATGTCTTTGAATAAGGGTAATAGCATACAGTTTATATGTATTTGTATCACCTTTACTTGAAAAGTACATAGATGTGTTTTTTTAATCTATAAAATAATAAAGAGACAGACAGACACTTTATCAATCCCAAATTGGGAAATTATTTTAACAGCAGCGTGTTTAGAGTTAAAAATATTGTAAAGTTGGGAATAAGTCATAAACTACACAACACAAGTATAATGCACGCAATCCATAGAGAAGTCCGAGTTATGATCCCCTCCCTCTTCTCCCTGTACACAAACCCGCTTCGGATCTGTCATTAGCCCATAGTTTTTCA